TTTGGACCCCAACATTCCATGAGCAGGAAACAGGCTGAGAAAACTGTTCAGCACCTAAGAATGGTATATTCTCCAATACTCTTTTCAGATGTGACCAAGGTGGACACTGGAAAAGGAAAAATCTTCTCAAAGAATAGAGCTGAAGGTCATGGAAAACAATGCAACTGGGGAGCTAGGTAATCAAGAAATCTTCTAAGGGACCTAAGCAAGAACATCCTCTACCTACAGGAAAAGGACCCTCGTACTAGGATTTCAGAATTGCTGTGTACCAGTAACTACTGTGCCTCATATTCTTCCCATTTCTGAATTGAGATGGTGAATTACGGTCATCCTCTCCCCATTCCACATTGTATGGTGGATGGGGTTAGGGTAATAGATAACCTGTCATAGGTCCATGGTTCAAGAGGAGACTAATATAGATTAAGATAGCAAAATCCTATACTTTGGAGTCTGATACTAGGATTGGAGGTGTTTTTCTTGGGGAAACAAGCAAATATTTGTGACCAAGAGAGGAAGCTGTGGTAAACTGAAGAACTGTTCTCAATTATTTGCTCTTTTGTAAGCGGATTATACATTCCTGCTATGTGACTTCCTATGAGTACATTTGAGAAAATATAGTTCCCAGTCCTATTGAAATAAGACTTGGCCTTGCGACTATGGTCCACAGAATGTGAGTAGAAGTGATATATGCCATGTCGGAAGGGAAGTTTTAAGATACATTGCATGGTTTGACCACTTTTATTTTCCCTCTGCCATCAGAATTGTGTATCTCAGATGGGTATTGCTCCTTTACCTGGATCTTGAAATGTTGACTCATGGAACAAAGTAGGCCCAGTGACATGTAACCTGAGCAAATTATTGCAAGGCCCTGAAATTTTGGAGTTTGTTACTACAGCATAATATAGTGAATGCTGACTGATATAAATTTATAGTGTCCATTCAACTTACCTCAGAAACACTAAGGTCACAGAGAGAGACTGAATTAATACCAGGTAATTCAACTCTCAATTCAATTTTCAGAGGTTTCTCATTCTGATCCTTTACAATTTTTAATTCATAGGCTGGTATCTTCACCTCCACCTGGATTTCAGTACTGGAAATCTCTTCTATCAGACACTCCGCTTTGCCTGAAACTTGTTCTTTTGGCAGTAACAGTTGAGGGAAGTGATCTGGATTACTCACAGTACTGCTTCTTATCTGTTCAAGAGTTAGTTCTTTATGATAAAAAAGGAGAGGAAATAAAATCACAAATTAATCTACAACTTAAAATACTATCAGGCTATGAAGTTGTAGTGTTATATGAGATGGCAGATAAAGCTGCAGTTAAATTAGTTTGGGAATCTTAAGTTAAAATAATCTTAAACCAAAGAGCTTGGTCGAAAAAATTGCAGGATTTAAAAGTCTTCTAAGGATATTCTATAATTTCTTTTTCTTTTTTTTTCCTTTTTGTCTTTTTCCGTGTCCGGCAACGGATCGCAACCCTCAGTGTCGCCCCCGTACCGGACCGGGACCAGCAACGGGATCGCAACCCTCGGCATTGCCCCCGCGCCTCGCTCAGCCAGTGAGCGGGAACCGGTCTGTATGTGGGATCCGAACCCTCAGCGGGAGCGCCGCCGCGCTTCCCAAGCGGCGCACTATAGCAGTGCGCCACCGGGCCGGCCCATATTCTATAATTTCTAATATCTAATGTTTACATTTTTCTATCTTAAGTTTCTCATCTTTTAAAATTGAGACTTCTAGTTTGCAAAATGTATACAGATAAAGACTCTTAAATAAGTTTACATTCATCAACTTACCCTTTCTTATTTTCTCTCTTAAATCTGTGGAATCAGTTTGGATTCCCATCAGATTTTTTTTCATTCTTTGAATGCTTCCTTTTATTCTAAATTTGGTAATATGGTAAGAGTGTGACAGAGTGAACTGGAGTTGCTCCTCAATGCATTTCATGGCCATCTGTATTAACTGGTCTTTTTTCACTTGGTCTTTTTCTGCTGCTTGAAGAACATCAGGATTGTAGGCAACATTGATGACTGTGTAAGCATCTGTGTGTGTAATTCAGAGGGTGTGAAATAAAGACAGCTTGTTTTGCTAATGATATTGTCAGGTAATATATTAAATGACATTCTTGATAAAGCTAGAAAATATAAATTCTATATTTTTGAGAGGCAATCACAATCCTACATACACAAAATTCCAATTAGGGCATTTTTGTGTTAGTTATAAATAGCTTATATTATTAGAAAAATTAAACAGTATTAAATTTGCATAAAGGTACACTAATTTGTCATCATATTATCACCAAATAAAATATTTTACTTGAAACGTTTTACCAAGTAAAATCCAGTCAATGCTTATTCCCAGTAAAAATTTTAAATGTGCTTTCTTCCTTAATTCTTTATACCTGATATCTCAGATATATCTTCTGCTCTGCCAACAGTTAGAGGAAACAGATGAGTGGTTGATTGGGGAGCCGGGATCCTTTTCCACTGACATAGGTTGATAAAAAGTATTTTTTCTTTTGGTTTCTAGAAAGCAAATAATTTTGCATATCTCAAAACCTAGTTTAAAAAATTTTTTAATAATAATATCCTGAAGGCAACTCATCACAGAGCTGGAAGATGGAGTAAGTTGGAAGTGTTTGGTAAATTATACTTTTTCACTTGATTTTCCCAAAGCTGTTGGCTTCTCATCAAGAATCTAGTTGCTGGTCCCAGAGGAAATGGGAAGAAAGAGAGGAAATTGATGTAAGAAGTTGTACCAGGTGAATTTGACCCTATTTCACCACTTCCTTATCTCCCCAAACAAATAAGTTCTCTATTTTTTTTTTCCTTTTTGTCTTTTTTACTGACCGGTAACGGGATCGCAACCCTCAGTGTTGAGCCCGCACTGCGCTCAGCCAGTGAGCGGGAACCGGTCTCCACATGGGATCCGAACCCTCGACGGGAGCGCTGCCGTGCTCCCAAGCGGTGTACTCTCCAGTGTGCCACCGGCCGGCCCTAAGTTCTCTATTTGAAAAGGTCCCAGAGGGCTGGCCCATGGCTCACGTGGGAGAGTGTGGTGCTGATAACACCAAGGCCACGGGTTCAGATCCCTATATAGGGATGGCTGGTTAGCTCACTTCGGAGAGCCTGGTGCTGACAACACCAAGTCAAGGGTTGAGATCCCCTTAACGGTCATATTTTTATAAAAAAGAATAAAAATAAAAAAAGAGAAAAGGCCCCAGGGCTGGCAGGTTAGCTCATTTGGTTAGAGCCTAGTGCGGAAAGCACCAAAGTCAAGGGTTCAGATCCCCTTCCTGGCCCTCTCCCTCCCCCACAAAAAGCTCCAACTCCATGATTCTATATTAAATCATTACATCACTTTTTCTTTTCATTCTAGCAGAAAAATATGGCTCATTTTGAGATCTCCACAATACATCAAGTATGAATTTCCCATTCTTATTCCTTCAACACAGTCTTTCACATTACATTTCATATTTTTATTTAGAGAGGTAAGTTTCCCTCAAGTTTTCTTGTGTTAAAGTAGCAAGAGCATACTGGCCAGCTGCAAAAAAAAAAAAAAAGTAGCATGAGCTAAGGGTAAAGTTTTCTCTGGTTGTTCCAGGATCATTTCATTCAAGACCTACCCATCACTGGCACCAACTCTACATACCAGGATCCTGGTCTGTACACAGAGCTGGGGTTCTGGGGCAGCACAGAGCTGTTTCCCCTCTTTTAGTTGCTGTTGAATGAACTTCTCATAGCCCTGAGGGTCACTTTCAGCCAGATCATCCAGGAGGTTCCAGAACTGAGTAACCTGAGTGAGCAGACCCTGTGAGGATATCTCCATGATTGATGGTGAATAAGCCTCTTAAACCTGCAGAAAGACATGACTTAAGGGGATAAAAGCCTATGTAGCTATTGGTTCATTTCCTCTTCTGGGGGAGGAACGAGCCAGGAGTTGTTTTGGTGAAGTTAGCAGCTATCCTTAAGACCTGTGTCTAAAAGATTGTGGATCAGCACCACCTTATCTTTTCCTTATCCTCTATCTAGTACTCTTTCCTAAATTCTCAAGTTGTCCTTTCAGATAAGGCCCTACCTCCACCTGGACCCTCACAATCCCCGAGGACGCAGAGCAGTCATTTTAAGTCAGAATTTCCCGATAATCTTCTTATCCCAACACCGGGGTATTGGCTGACTGGTGCCTCCCCAGTCCTAAAATTGCTAGAGGTCCATATGAGAATTCTTCAATCTTCAATATCGTTTAGTAGTTAAAAGCATGGACTCCGGAGCCAGAATGCCTAAATTCCAGTCTTAGCTCTATCTCTTACTAAGCTGTGTGACCTTGAGCAATTAATGTATATATGTACTTCAGTTTGTTCTGCTAAAAATGAAGACAATAATACCTATTTCATAGGGTTATTGTGAGGATTAAATAGGCGAAACAAAGAGGCTTGGACACTTGCTAAACACTAAATGAGAGTAACATTCTCTCCGTCTTCAGATAACTCCTCGGCTCCCTCTCCCACGGGAGATGAGTCCCACAGCATCCTCAAAATGAGGAGGTTTAGATTCTTCAAATACTGTATTAGGGTTAGAATAACTGGTATACTTAACTAACGGGCAATCATTCCAGATGAACTCACCTCCTCTCTCGGCTCCTTGAAAAACAGCGACTCCTGTTACCAGGGTAACCAGACTGTGTACAGCACCTAATTGGGTCCGGGAAGCTCCAAGCAGAAAGGTCTTTTTACATCCAGTTCCGGAATCTCCGCCTTCTAGTGCGGAGCTTGCTTTTCTGCTGGGCCCAACCCACTACTTTTCCAGGAAATCTGCTTCACTCTGACACGATCTCTAGAAGGTCCTGGAAACCCTCCCCGCGGGAGTTCCTGCATCTCACGTTGGTGGGAAGATTTTCTCAAGAGCACGACTTCCGGCCTGAAAGGGAAGCCGCCTCCTTTTTCTCTCAGACCGCTTCCTCTCCCCCACCCCTGCCACGCGAGGCTGCGGCGCACGGTATGGGAGTGTTTGTGGGTATTTGTGTGGGGAGGGCGTTTGGAGGGAAGGTTACCGGGAGCTCCAAGGCCGATGGGGGGCAGGGATCCCGGTGACAAAGATGGGGGTATTTTCTTTGTCTTCCACTTGGAAACCTCAGCACCCCCTTCAGGCACCCTAGACACTTCCTGGGGCCCAACCGAAGGTCGTAAACATCCAGAGCGACTCCAGCCTTTCTGAGGAGTGAAACCCAAGTCCCGGGGTCCATCCCAGCGGAGCGTGAGCGGGGAATGCCCCGGTCAACCGGGCCGTCCGGATTCCGCGCCGGCGCAGCCTCGGGCCTCAGTTCGGGAGAGAGATCTGTCTGTCGGTCTGGGCTGAGGGAAAGGCAGCGGTGGCCTGGGCCACTGGTGAGGGCAGAATAACCGGTGGGAAGCCTGCGTTTTCACGAAGGACTCGGGTGAAGCTGCAGAGCTGACTTTTAGCCCTGACTCCTTGGCTTCCTGGGTCGGAGGAGATCTTGTAATGGAGTGGTTCTTCGTCTCACACTAACAAGATGCCTGATATCCTCAGGATCGTGGGGTGAGTGAGCGTGGGGTGGTTGAACAAAGCCCCTGCTAGCTATATGCGTGAGTATCCTTGTCATCTAGTCTTTGGAGGCTTATGTACAAAATAGGAAAGAAACAAAATGCCCCTGATTGGAGAAATTTAGGACATGTTTGCATTGGATGTTTTTAGGTGTCAGGTTTTTTTTGCTGTTTACATTTGTGGTTCCTAACACTCTCAAATCTATCTGCTTTATCACAAACTAATTTTGGGATTCAAAATTTGATTTCTAATCTGGACATTGATATACATCTTTTGCTGGGACTGCGTGGCCTAGGGCAAGTTATAGCTTTAAGTGAAATTCATCTACAAAATAAGGATGGAGATACTTGCCTTATACGAAACAGAATTATTGTGAGAAATAAAATGGTGCTCGTGAAAGCACTTAATTTTGTGCAATCTTATGCAGTTTCACAGAACTTTAATGTACATTATTTCCTTTCATCATAGTAGTGTGGTTAGGCATTTCCCCCTTTTAAGGGTTAAGGAAAAACTTCCTCAGGATCTCTGGCTTCTAGTTCAGTGATCATTCCTTTACTTCATTCTTCTTTATAAAACTTAAGAAAAGATAAGGTAATAAAGGAAACTATTATTAAATGGTATTTATTGATTCATTTCAGATTGAAGAATGTCCCGGGTCCCATTGGGGAAAGTCCTCCTGAGGAATGTCATCCGGCACACAGATGCTCACAATAAGGTGGGAGGTACACCCCAGTCATTCCTTAACACTTAATGAGGGCATACAGTGTGTCAAGCATTATTTGGCACAGTTGGGATATACAAAGATGGTAAAACAGATAGTTACAATAAAGCCTGACAAATACTGTGTAATAGAGACATTTACCTTTACATTTGTTTTCCTCATTTTGATTTAGAGCACTAAGGAAGGAATAATGAAATCTGACTTGGGGAAATAGAAAACACTTCACCAAATGAGCGGTATTTGAGCTGCTGATATTTGAATTGGTTTTTTTTTTTTTAAAGATGACTGGTAAGGGGATCTTAACCCTTGACATGGTGGTGTCAGCACCACACTCTCTCAAGTGAGCTAACCGGCCATCCCTATATAGGGATCTGAACCCGTGGCCTTGGTGTTGTTAGCACCACACTCTTCCAAGTCAGCCACAGGCCGGCCCTTGAACTGGTTTTTGATGAATGGGTATACCTCAACCAGATATAAAAGATCATTCTGGACAGAAAGAGCATCATGTACTAATGTGTGGCAACAAGAAAGAGCATGAGACACGTGGGGCATGGCCAGAAACTGTATGCATCCCGGATGTAGGGGATAGTGGCAGAAGATAAGGCCTGAGTGGTAAATTAGAGTTGCATTGAGATTCATTATACAATGAATTGGAGATGAAACTTTTTCCTTTAGGCAATAAAGAAGCCATCAGATGTTTTTAAGCTGGGTGTGACATGATCATATTTGTATTTTAGAAAGATGATTTGTCAACTGGGTAGGGAATAGATCAGATGGGCAGAAATAGTAGGAAGACCAATTAGGAAGGAATTGCAATATTCCAGGTGAGAGGTGATGAGGGTTCGCATGAAAGCAGTGACAGTAGGGATGAAGAAGAGGAACTTAGAACGTAGAATCCAAAGAACCTAGTGACTGATTAGATGATAGTGATAACCACCTTGTGTGAATGGGTGGCTCATAATGATCTGGTTAATTGACATAGGGAAAGAAAAAAGGGACAAGTGTAATGGGAAAGGTAATTAGTTTGGTTTTGAACATGTTGATGGTGAAGTGCTTACAGAATGTCCAAACAGTTGAAAATTCAGACTTGGAAGAAAGGACAAAAGTTGGGGCTAGACATAAAGGTTTGGGAATTATTGATAGATAGATAGATAGATAGATAGATAGATAGATAGATAGATAGATAGATAGATAATAGAGGTCATGAGAGTAGATGAGGTCACCTAGGAGCATACATATAATGAAAAGAGGGCCAAAGCCTCCTGTTTAGTTTTCTTCAGTGAACTGTACTACTTCTGGTTTAATAATAAATTTTATTACTGTCACATCACTTGATTTTTTTTGTTTGTTTTTAATTGTGGGTAAGGGTATAACTGTTACCTAAGCTGCCTATGCAATTGTGTTACCCCACCCCTAACTATATGGTGAACTTAGATTTGAAAGCGGTAGCTAAAAAAGATAAATCTAGCACAGATTTAACAAAATTATGCAGGAGGACTTATACATAATATGTGTACATGTTCTTTGGGCAATTGTAGTCTGCTTTTCAGGAAATTCTCTAGCAACCATACTGTTTGTATTTTGCTTTTGACAAAAATACTAATATTGTGAAAAGAGACCTAGCCTAAAGGGTTTAAAGTCTTGTCCTGCTAGTGTTTTTTTCTTTTTTTAACTCATTGTTTTGGACGTTTTTTTGACTTTGGTAAAATGTTTAAGCATTTGTTTCTTCTCAGTAAAGTGTTATAATAATACCTGCTTTGTTTTCCTTATAAGATTGCTTACAGGCCGGCTGGTTAGCACAGTTGGTTAGAGAGCAGCTTTATAACACCAAGGTCATAGGTTCGGATCCCTGTGCTGGCTAGCCGCAAAAATTAAATTAAATTAAAAATAAAACAAAACATGATTGATTACGGTTCAGTTGAGATGATACAGTTAAAATCATTGCATTTTAGAAAAGTGGGATTAGGGCCGGCCCGTGGCTCACTCGGGAGAGTGTGGTGCTGGTAACACCAAGGCCCCGGGTTCGGATCCCATATAGGGATGGCCAGTTCACTCACTGGCTGAGCGTGGTGCTGACAACACCAAGTCAAAGGTTAAGATCCTCTTACCGGTCATCTTTAAAAAAAAAAAATAAAGAAAAAAGAAAAGTGGGATTATAATTTGCTAATTGCAGCATAATTCCAAAATCAGTAAGGTGATAAGTGTGTCTATGCAGGGGTTAAAAAGTTCTATTGCTGCAGAATTGCAGGTGTTTGAGATTTACTGGGTCAGATTGCTTTTAACCACTTTCTAGAGAAAACAGAATTTGCTTTACAGGTCCCTGATCGTAGCCCAGTCTGTAACCCAGTAATTAGTCAGACTGTATTTTCAGTTATGTAAAGTGTTATTTTTAGTAACTTGTTTTTATTTCTTTCCTTTTTAAAAAACTCTAGATTCAGGAGGAATCAGATATGTGGAAAATAAGAGAACTGGAGAAACAGATGGAAGATGCTTACCAGGGAACCAAAGGGAAAATGTTACCCAGCAGTTCAAGGTGAAGTTGCAGCTCTGAGAACCAAAATCATTCTCATCTTTTTCAAAATTACCAACTTTTGTTTAAAAACATTTTGGTATGTTAAGGATAGATGAATTCAGTTCTGTGAGTTCATAAGCCTTCCCTGTTTCATAAATTTAGACCCAAACATAAAGATAATAGCTGTGATGCTGATGGCTCCATTTTTTGTACTTACTTGCAATGGAAATTCTAAAAATCCTACCTTGAACAATTGTATTGGGTTCTGTGGATTCTGACCTTGCCCGTTAGCCTTTTTTGGGGCGGTGAGGGGGTCAGGGGGTGATGTTGGTGGCTGGCTGGTATGGGGATCTGAACCCTTGACCTTGGTGTCATAACACCACATTCTAACCAACTGAACTAACCTGCTAGCCCATGATAGCTTTTATTTATTTATTTATTTTTCAAAAGATGACCGGTAAGGGGATATTAACCCTTGACTTGGTGTTGTCAGCACCATGCTCAGGTAGTGAGCGAACCGGCCATCCCTATATGGGATCCGAACCCGTGGCCTTGGTGTTATCAGCACCACACTCTACCGAGTGAGCCACAGGCCGGCCCCCCATGATAGCTTTTAACTTAAGATTTTCTATTGGAATCTTATGGTCACTTAGCTGATCAATCACTCTTCCCCTATTAGTCTTTCATTCTTTCAGCCTTTTCTTTACCCTATCTACTCACTATTTTTGCCAGGTCAACTGCCTTTCACATTCCTTCTTGGTAATTTGAGTGTGAATATGAAGGATTACACAGGCTTAGTTGCTTTTACCTGTGGAGGTATACCTGTTCAAGTAGTTCGGAACATCTCTTGGGCCTCATTCCTGTAATTGTAAAAGCTATGTGTCTGAGAAATGACTGTAAAGTAGTAATACTGATTTCTAAAGCCACCTAGGGAAATCAGTAGTTAATAATGAGATATTTATGGAGAGAGCATAGCTGGAGAGTATGTGGACTTTGGTGTGTGATTATGTGTGAAAGGCTTCAGTGTTTAGGCTGCCAACTGCAAAGAAGGCAGAGTCTCAACATAAAAATGTTTTTCTTTCTGAAGGTGGTCCTTTAAGAATTTGGAAGTACAGTTAGTACAGATGATTTATTTCATATTGGTTGATTACAAGTGGCATTTTCAGAAACAAAATGATTGTGCTTTTAGAGTGGACTCTATTAATGCCTGTCTTGGTGAATAAAATTTTTTTAAATTAATAATTTTAAAAAATTGACAAAAAGTGAATCTTTAAAACATAATCCCTGTAGGGGCAAGAATTCTGATTCTCTCATTTACTATTACGTTTGACCTTCGAACAAAATGGGCTTGAACTGCACAGATCCACTTATATGTGGAATTTTTTCAACTTTAAAACATAATCCCTGTAGGGGCAAGAATTCTGATTCTCTCATTTACTATTATGTTTGACCTTCGAACAAAATGGGCTTGAACTGCACAGATCCACTTATATGTGGAATTTTTTCAATAAATAATCAGCCCTCCATATCTGCAGGTTCCACATCTGTGGGTTTAACCACAGACCAAAATATAGTATTCAGGGGATGTGGAACCCACAGATACAGAGGGCTGAGTTTTTGTATCTGCCAACCCGTCCCCCACCCCTAACCCCTTTATTGTTCAAGGGTCGGCTGTATATTCATTCCTACGAGCCAGAACAGTGCCTGACTGTTTTAAGGAGGTCCTTAAAATTTTTTGATAACTGACGAACTGGTTTACTGGCTGGTTAGTGGATGTTGTGAACCGAGGCTGGATCAGTGGTTCTCAATTTATTTCTTACCCCAACATTCCCATGGATTAGGTCTTGTTCCCACTGTTACTATGACCTCACTGCAGCAAGTTGCTGGTTTGTGGGGAAAGAAGTGTATTTCAGAATCTCTAGAGTAGTTTGAAGTATCCTTAGCTGTGATTATGCTGCTTCCCTCTTTGCATGCCCTCCTAGTTGAGAATCAGTGAGTGAGCTATACCATGACACAGTTCAGAAGTGATTTCATCTATATCCTGCAATAGGATGAGTAGTAATGGTCAGATTTTTTTTCCACTGGACTTTAAAAATGTATAGAGAGGAATGGATAACGTCTTTTATAATTTTTTTTTTTAATATTAACAAAACAGGTTTTGTTCTCCCCTCAGCATGCTACTTGAGTTTTGTGCATGATGTTCCACAAAGTAACCTCACAGATTGCTTTTAAAGTTCTGCTTTCTTCTTATAGCCGGATGCGTAGTGATGGTTTTGATGAAGAAAGTCAAAGAGACTATTGGAGGCCAAAGAATGAAATTTCTGGATAGCCGGATGCGCAGTGATGGTTTTGATGAAGAAAGTCAAAGAGACTATTGGAGGCCAAAGAATGAAATTTCTGGGACACTGGAAGATGATTTTCTTAAGGCTAAATCCTGGAACAAGAAGTTATATGATTATGAAGCTAATATGCCTGACAGGTTTGTGACTAAATTCCTGTGACCGTTACTAATATTTGGACTGAGAATGTGTACTTGTCAAAATTAATTGTCCCCACAAAAACCTGTAGACAAGTGTTCATAACAGCATTATTCATAATGGCCAAAAAGTGGAGACCCAAATGTCTATCAGCTGATGAATGGATAAACAAAATATGGTATATCCATACAGTGGAATATTATTTGGCAGTAAAAGGAATGAAGTACTGACATATGCTACAACATGGATAAACCTTGAAAACATTATGCTAGGTGAATGAAGCCAGACACAAAAGGCCACATATTATGTGATTCTATTTATGTGATATATCCAGAATAGGCAAATCCATAGAAGACAGAAAGTGGATTGATAGTTGTCATGGGCTAGAGGCACTACACTTTAAAGGGTGAATTTCACAGTATGTGAGTTATATTTTAATAAAACTGTTACTTTAAAAAAATTAACTGTCCCAATGTAGACAGCATTGTTATGAAATGTTTTTAGAAAAATGCTTCATAGCTAAAGAGTAGAGTATAAGAGTTCTTTAGTGTTTCTTAAGAGAATGGCAAATTCTTTTACAAATGGACAAATGTCTGAAGTGATAGTGTACAGTACAAAAAGTGTAGCTGTTACTGAACTATAATGCAGGCTTTGCTCTACCATATGTTTTTTTGTTCTCTATGTGTCTGTATGCATGTACTACAAAATCTAATTTTGTTTTGATTTCCAAAAATGTATGCATTGCTTTAACGATACATGTAATGTGTCATCTTACAGATGGGGTCACAGTGGTTATAAAGAGTTATACCCTGAAGAATTTGAAACAGACAGGTAAGGCAAATAGGCTTACTCAAAAAAAGTTAGAAATTAAGATTATTCCAAAGGCTGTACTATGAATTGATTTCCTAACTTTTACAAAGGACATATATAATATTTGACATTGAAAACATAGCTAGAGAAATAATAGGTGACTTAGTTGAGAGGCAATTGCTATTTTGCCTTTCCCTGATTGATGTTTGGCATGTCTGTAAGCATTCTGTTTTTATATATAGTATTCCATACAGTAAGTCAGTATGGCAGACTAGAATTTTTATCTTCACTTTAAAGGAAGCAAAACTCTGAGTAATAAAATAGATAAGGTCTCATAGTAACTGTATGTCAAAGTTCTGATTTAAAATTCAGAAGTTAATCCCAATTTCCTATCTAGAATGAAGAATATTAAAATATAAATACACTTTTTCTTTTCTACTTAAAACAGTTTCTTTTTTACTTTTTTATTTGTAGTGATCAGCAAGATATTACCAATGGGAAAAAAACATCTCCCCAGGTAAAATCATCTACCCATGAATCCCACAAGCACAAGAAGTCAAAGAAATCCCACAAAAAAAAGCAGAAAAAAAAGTCACACAAAAAACAGAAGAAAAGCAAAAAGGAAGCCACAGATATAACAGCAGATTCCTCAAATGAGTTCTCAGAAGAAACTGGGGCTTCCAGTACCAAGAAAAGGAAACAACCACATAAACGCAAGAAAAAATCCAGGAAAAAGTCTCTCAAAAAATCTGTTTTATTCTTAGAGGCAGAAAGTGAGACTTCCCAGACAGATGACTCAGCATCTAGCAGTTCTGAGGAAAGTGAGGAAAGAGACACTAAGAAAACTAAAAGGAAAAAGAAAGATAAAAAAGTCCATATCCCTATGGCTAACAATGAAATACAGGAGAGGACAAACAAACGCACCAATTGGAAAGTGGCCACAGATGAAAGGTCTGCTGAGAGCTCAGAAGATGACTAAATGGGAAAGAAACATTTTTGTTTCCCACATAACTCTGGATATTTACAGCTCTTAACACCTTGGGGTTTTGTCAGACTTGTTCAGCACAGGGGGCCTGAGGTCAGAGCTGTCTCGTGCCATCTATGTATGTTCTGACAGATTTCTTGTCTTCTACTTTAGCCTGTTAAACTTGATCCCCTTTTCTTGTTAATAGGGAATCCAGTATTTTGTTATGAAGGTTTCTTGAAGAGATTATTTTTTGCAATTAATCACATTTAGTGTAGAGTACATACACAGCAAATTAAACGACCCAGAAAGCTGAATCCAAGAATGACCTGGGTACGCCAATTGGAATGTTGAATTTGGGGAGGTCAAGGGCTGGGATCTAGAGGTGGATTGGAACCAGTGCTTGGTAGGATGGTAGACAAGGGAACACTCTTGCTGTCTTTGTTTACATAGTAGGTATCACAACTGACTTATCTTCAGCCTTGGTGCTTTGATCCTTCTGCATTTTGATCCCAGAATGTGGTCCAGTTTACTTAATGAGGAAATGGGCATAAGAACAAACCTCTTCCTTTATGATAACTTCCATAGACAAGTGTTATTAAAAGGGACTAGGATTCTCTCAAATGTCCCTGTTGGACAGGGTATATAGCTACACTTAGTATGCCCCTAAACATGGCAACTGGATAGTAAATGGTTTTCTAGTTCCATTGCTGTATGTTGCCTAAGTGGACTTGTATTTGGAATTATTTCTTCAGTTGTAGATAATCTACCAAATAAGGAAGAATTAGGAACTAGTCCTGTTGTCTAATGGTGCTCTGAATAGGATTCAGGGCAGTGGCTGCCATTTAAATGTTGTCTTCCTTGTTCATTTCTAAATCTTAATGAACTTTAGATTTTCCCTGAAACTAAGTTGAATAAGTTCCAAAATGAAACAGGCTTCTCAGGGACATATACACTTCTTCCCAGTCTGCCTTTGGAATAAAGCACCAAGCAGAGACCACGTTATTTCTTTTTGTTATACTGTGATCTCTACTATGTTAATTCTTAAGAAACCAAAACATCACTGAAAGAAGGCTGGCAGAACACAAGTTAATTTTTTCATTATGGGAGAAAAGTGACATACTGCCATTGTTTTTGCCTGGTTGTCACTTCACAGGCCAAGTAAAAAGTTTGAAAACTCAGACTTTTGGTCTTGGTTCTGCCATTAACTGGTTATGAGGTACACAGCAGTTAACCTCCCTAGCCTTACTTTCCCCTTGTGTAATACTGACATACTTCATGGTAGCATGACAGTATAAATACCAGCAAAAGAATAAAACTATGGTGACGTTCCATAAGGTGGTATTTTATAGTTCTAACTACTAAATTTGTTCTCTTTGCAGAACAGATTTCTAATAAAGTGCTTGGTCTTAAAATACATGGTTGGCCAAAGGTGCCCTATCCCAAGAGCAGGTGCTACCTTTTGGGATATTTATTTGAATTAGTGCTTTGGTACTTAACTGTCAGTGTTCCATAGTGTATATTTTTATCTTTGGGATTAGTGGGAGCCTAAAGGGGAGAGAACAGTCTATAATTACTACCTCTTAACCTAAAGCAATGTTTTGTTCTTGGAGCAAGTGAAATTTTTGTTGGAAGCATTGTTTAGCATTGTTTCTGTGCTCTAAAAGTACTGATTCCAAACCCAGACTCAGGAAAGTGGGCCAGTGGAACAAGGCATCTCCAGGAAGTTGGGTCTTGAACTTCTCCTCCTCCCAAACTAGCAGGCTTATTTCTTTCCCAAGGAATACACATCTTGCCTGTTCTTTTTTTTTTTTTTTTTTTTTTTTTTTTTTTTTTTTTTTTTT